GATCGAGAGTGGGAGAAACACCACCAAACCTGTCATTAGACTGTTCCCAAGGCACCGACACGAAGTCTCCCATGGAGAAACTGACGGACAAACTCATTACAACGTTTGGGTCTCCCTCCCGACCTCTCATGGGGGAGATTGTATCCCTTGCAGGTTTCATCCTGCAATGGCAGGGAGGGATGAGCGTGGTTCACGCCATAGCCATGAACCTAATTCACCGGGGTCCCTGGGGAAGGGATGTGGGCACCCAGGGCGGCTGGGGAGCAGGAACCCCGGGAGAGGAACCCTGGAAAGGCTGAGCCCCTTCCCGGGCCACGGGCGGGCGCATCCTGGTACCGTTCACCCGAGGGTATCATCGGCATCCGAATGATGAGGAAGGAAAGGGAAAGCGCGGATAAAACCTTGCCTCGAGCAGGTTTTGTCGCGTCCCGGATCTCAGCGTCACCTGTTGCTGCCACGGGCTTGCGGTGCCAGTGTACACCTAATTTAAGAAATTCAAAAGGTGCGAATTGGTCCCGTACTGGTCCTCCAGGGGGGAGCGGGCACCGGCACACGCTCAGCTCTGCAACCCCGCAAGGGCCGGCGCGTCCCGGAGCGACCTCCCGGGAAATGCAGCGGCGGGCCAGTGAAAGGGGGCGTGGGGCGGGGGATCCAGTGTCCCCCGCTCCAAAAAGTCACCCTGAGCTGCTCTGCAGCCCCCCGGGCACAGGCAGGGGTGCCCGCCGCAATCGCTCCCGGTTCAAAGGAGGGGAGACCCCCCCCCAAGAGAGATTCCCGGGGGTGGACACAGCTGGAAATCGGGACAGAGCGGGAAAGCGGCCCTCGATGAACCCCAGGAGAAGTGGGTGAAGCAGGAGAGACAGACAGCGAGAGAAAAGGGAGGAAAAAAGTAAGGGAGAAAGATGAAAATAAGGAGAGAGTGGAAGCAAAAGAAATAGAAAACATAAAAAGGAAAATCGTTAGATAGGGTAAGAGCAAAAGAGAGAGGGGAAAAAAGGAAAATGGAGAAAGACGAAAAAGAAGAGAGAGAGAAAGAGAAAAACAAAATAAAATGGTTAATGAGGGGGAAAGAGAGAAAAGCCAAAGCACAAAGAAATTTAACAGGGTGAGGAGACAGAAAATGAGAAAAATGAAAGAGAGAAATAGGGAGAGAAAACTAGAGAAGAAAAGAAAGAAGGAAAGAAGGAAGGAAGGAAAGAAGGAAAGAAGGAAGGAAGGAAATGAAGCAAAGAAAGAAAGAAAGAAAGAAAGAAAGAAAGAAAGAAAGAAAGAAAGAAAAAGAATTTAATGAATTATACGAGTGAAAAAAGGAAAAGGTGAAAGAAAGAAAGATAACGAGAGAAAGAGGAAGATAATTATAGAAAGAAGGAAATAAGAGAAGAAAGAAAGAAGACGGGAAATTACCAAGGAGAAATAAAAAGTGAAAAAAGAGCCCATGATAAATAAAAGGCGACGAAGAGGAAGAAGGTCAGACGAGCCATAGTCCGGGCGGTGAGGGGAGAGCTGGAGCCCCTGCCCCTCTCCTCGCCTGACAGACGGACACAGGGGCGAGCACAGGTCCCTGACCGACCGCGAACATCTCCAGGAGATTTCAAAAGCACCAATATAATTTCCAGAGCAATTTTCCTGCCGCCGAGCCAACAGCTCTTCCTGCCCTCTCCAGATCGGGAAACGGGATTTTTAATTTTTTTTTTTTTAAACCATCTCGTTTCTCTACGTTCTGCTCGGAGAATGAAAGAAACGAAAGAGAGATGGAGAGGGGAAAAAAATGCTGGAGGGCAATGTTTTCAGGTCGGACACTGGGGCACAGGGAGATTGGACGTTAATATTAAATCCTAAATTCACCGTGAAAACGGGAGTTTCTGCGCAATCACAAGGAAAGGCCAGGGCAGTCCTGGAGGAAGGATCAAACTATTGGAAAAGATGTTCTTGATGTCTTAAGGTGGTTTTTATAATCCAGGATGATTTATTTTTGTTCGGGGCTGCGAGAAACTAGAAAGAGAAAACAAAAAAACTACCGGAGAAATGAATAAGATCTTGACCTTTCCTAATTCTCCAGATCAGCAGTAATGGAAAGCAGAAGGTGCCAGGGGAAGAAGCGGGGGGTGAGGCCGAGCGGGCGGCGCAGCGGGGCCGGGGTCCCGCACCCACAGCCCGCAGTGGGCGAGGAAAGGACCACTCGCTTCTCTCCTCGGGATCCGCACCACTTAACACGGGCTTAGTTAAGCGAAAGCAGAGAAAGAAATTACACACACGCAGCCCTCCCGCTGTGGTCCCGACGGGGATATTCCGGGGCAGGATCGTTTCATCCCGCCCCGACAAACCCGCGGAGAATCCCCCGTTTTCCGCCTCTCCGGGCTGCGCACACACGGAAATCGGCCGCGGAGTAACTGCGCACAGAGTGTCGCGGTTTTGTTACAAGCCTTTCATCTGACATACAGAGAGAAGTGGGGGCACATTAGGGGAAGAAAAAAAAAATTTAAAAAAATTTTAAAAGAAAATCTCCATGAATGCGTGACCAAAGCCAAAGCAAGGCAAGGGAATCCTCAACCCCCTTGTCCTACTCGGAAACAGCCGCCGATCCGAAAGGGAGAAGTGGGGAAAAAAAACAACCCAAACGTGCAGAAAAGGATCTGGCTCCTGGAGGGCTTTGCTCGGGGTTTAGCGCTGACAAAACCAAGTCCCGAAAGCAGCCCCGAGAACCTGGGCAGGGGAGGGGAGGAGAAGGGAAATGCTAAGTCGCCTCTTTGGCCAGGGAGTCCCAAGCAGCGACTGCAACAGCTAATTATTTTCCTTTCAGTGCTCGGTTATTGCTGGTGTCCTCCTCGCCTCCCCTCCAATAAATAAATAAAACCCTCCTTTAGGCAGCGAGGCGTGAAAAATGATCCTCGCTGAACGCTTAAAAATAACGTCCCGTGAAGATCGGGGCCGCGGAGCCAGCCAGCCCCGTAATTAGGGGCCATTATCCGTCCCGCCTAGTCGAAGCAAAATTTTATCGTGAAACCCCCGAACCGAGCCCGGCCAGGGCATTCCGGCTCCCCTGGGTGGTTCCTGGCCGCCCCCCATTCCAGCGGCCGGGCAGAGCCGGTTCCCGGGGCTCCGCCGACCCTCCCCGAGCCACGCAGACACTTGCGGGCGGCGTGAGACCGATCGGGGCACGGAACGAGCTGCGCTGCTTCAGGGAAATTCAGGGAAATAGGGAAAATTCTAATGTTAGAGATGCTTGGGGTTCTTCCCCCCAAAATAAAACCTCGCCGGCGCTTGCACTCGCAGCCCCCGCAGGTCCGAGCCGACCCTTCCTGCGTGGGTACCACGACCCCCGGTTAAGGGGGGGAATCCTCCGCTCCCCAAGTCAGTTCAGCTTCAATCCTCTCCGGCTACCGCGGCTTAAAACCCCACAATGACTCCGCAAGGCAAAAGGAGACGAACAGAGCCGGGGAAAGGTGTCCCAGTCCCAGAGACCCCCCCGATCCCCCTCTCCTGAGCGTGTGGGGGCAGGGGGCTCTCCAGGGAAACACCGCTTCCCTGCAGAGGACCCCCCTCCGTCCCTTCAAGCTCCGAGACCACCAACTTGGAGAACCCATTGCACCAGCGGGACTGCAGGGGCCACACGCCTCCTTCATCCCTACGGACATCCACTGCCATTTCTTATCCACTCCTTGCACCCTTGGCTCCTTTTCCTCCTGCACTTCACAAACAAACAAGTCAAAAATTATTAAAAATCGCTACTTTCTGTTAAAATAACCAGCCACCCCTTCTGCCAGGCACACAACCACCACCCAGCCTCGCTGCACATCGCTTTCTTCCCTCGGATCCCGTCTCCTCAAAGCAGGCTCGGTTATTAAAAGAGGCTGAACAAAGATAGCCCCGAGAGCGGCTATCAGCGCATTTTAACTTCATCAAAGACTTCGGGGGAGAGGGAGAGGAGGGGTCTGGCACCTTCTAGTAATGAGCTTGTCAGGAACACCCCTGCCAGAGCAATTGAACAATTTGCACACAAGCAAAAGAAAAGGAGAGCGGAGGGAGGGAGGAAGGGGAAATGCTACAAAAGCCCCTTCAATTTCCAACCATGTGCTTGGCAATCTGGAAAATAGATTCATTGGCCTCCTCTTTTCTCCCATGTCGAGTCTTGTAGCCCCTTTTGTAGGAGCTGGACATGAAAGGGAGACAACCAAGTGCCGGACACGAAGATCGCTTTTCAAAAGCAAATGTGTGTGAAGGCGAGATGTGAGACCGCTCGCTGCGGGGAGGCGGCACGTTCAGGAACAACATCAACAAACTGCGCGGAGGTTCGAGGTGGCACAGACAGGGGCAGAGGAGGGGGGATAAAAAAGGGATGGATGGATGGGGGGAAAGAAAAGCCGATTTCCCTCCCCCTGCTCCCCGGAGCACACCGGCCGGCTCCCGCTCTGCCGGAGCCCCGGAGGGCCCCGCACAAAGCCGCGCTGCCGGGGCCGCTCCGTCCCCGCTCCCTGCCTCGTACGGCTCAGCTGCTTTTTTTCCTTTTTCTCCTTCTCCTTCAGCTGGCTGCCCGGTCAGAAAGGCCTCGATTCTTTCGATCGCGGTCCCTGCCAACAAACAAACCAAAGAGCCACGTTTGGTCCCTGAAATAAATAAATTGAAAGAGGGGAGAGAAGTTTGGAAGAGAAGGGAGCGCTTTAAGATGTTTATTTACTTTGTAAGTTGTTGCAAAATTTAGGTAGAGATCAAGTTTCATTCGGTCATTCAGATACTGCAGGCCCAAGGGGGACGTGTATGCGGGGGGGAAACCCTCCAACTTATTTTCTCATGTGTCAACTTTTCCAAACAAAATAAAAAAGAGGTGGGGGGGGGGGGGGAGGGGGTGAAGGAGGGAGAACCTTTTTCCCGGCCGCCACCTTCTTCCCCCTGAAAGAAAACACGAAGGGTATTTTGGGTTTTTTTTTTGGGGGGTTGGTTTTTTTTTAATTTTTCTGGGAGATACCAAAATCCAAGGAATAAAAAATAAAATTAACACTAAAAAAAAAAAAAAAATCCGGGGATCTTATCGCTTGCCAGCCCGTGGACCTAGAGCGGGGACGGCCACCGTGGCCCGGGCGGTGCGGCAGCCGCGGAGGGGCTGCTCAGCCCCCGCCGACCGCTCCGGTGTCTCCGGCCCGAGGTTGGGACGGGAGCCCCTCGCTTCCCCGAGGCCCGAGAGGGGCTCTCGGCTCTCAGCGTGACAAAGGACATCGCAAAGAACGATTTGAATTGGTTTTTTTTTTTTTTTTTAACCAGGTCACAAACATTTATTAATTTACACCAACGGTGGACAAAATTCTGTTGCCTTTTCCACATCAAATTATTCACAGATTCTCTCAATAAAATAGATATGACGGATGCACAACCAGTGAAGAGTTAACTGGACTCTGCTCATTAGCTCCCGAATAATCTATATACAAATAATTACCAATACACCAAAAAACCCACGCACGGAGGGGGTGGGAAAACGGGGATTAAAAAAAAAAATAGCATGAGAATTCTCCAAACTTCCTGACGGATCCGATTTTCTTTTAAACGTGCATTTGAATGTCTAATTGGGAAAAAAAAAAAAAAAAGAAAAAAAAAAACCACAGTCCTGAGTTTCACCGACTTTTCTTCTTCTTAAAAGCAAAGAAACCTTAAACAGTGCCTTTTAAAACCAAACCCGAAGCTTCAAAGAAACTAAAAATAAGATCGGACCATTAAAACATTTTCTTTGAGAGGAAGGGAAAGACAGACACACATGGCAAAAGCAGCCGGCACAGAGGCTTGCAGGAACGCAAACGGGCTCGCTGCGAGCGGGGCCGGCCGCACTCCCCTGGCCGCTTTCCCAGCGATCCGGGGGACCCCCGCGGAAAACCCGCACCTCTCAAAGGGAACATTTCCCACCCTAAGACCGTTTCGTTCTTCACATGCCCCCCTCCGCCCCTCACAAGACGTTGCGTTTTCAACCAGCCCAGGTCCCAGCTTACGTTACGGCCACTTTATAAATACGCTTTGGCGCTTGTAGGACCAAATCGTGTTATTCTTTCCCTCCTCCCGCCCTCCCGATTTGTTGAATTAGTTTGGTTTTTTTTTTTTGGTTTTGGTTTTTTTTTTCCCCCCGAGCAAAGAGAGACAAAAAGATCTGGATGCCACTGAGCCTGGAAATTAAGTAAAAATTAAAAAAAATTAAAAAAAAAAAGGAAATATTTCCTACCTTAAAACACAACAGAAGGAGATGGGGGGGGACACGGGGAGAGGGAAGGGGAGCAGTTTCGGAGGAGTGGGGGAGAGCTGGAAAGGGGCCGTTTGCTTCGCGACTCTCCCCCCACCATCCCCCTCCCCTTCCCCAGTCCCCAGCACGCTTTAAAAATGACAGCTGCTGAGGGTTGTGATTTTACTGGAAAAGTTCTGGGCCGGCTGGAGGAGCGGCTCGTGTGCCAGGCTGACCTGGGGCTGTGCCGGGGCCAAGGCGGGGCTGAGCACGGCCAGGACCTGCGCCGGGGGGCCCGCCTGGCCGGCGGGGTAGGGCGCGGCGGGCGCGACGCTGGGGTTGGTGCTGGGCGGCGGGGGCACGGCCCCCCCGATGATGTTGTCTATGGAAAAAGAGGGCCGGGAGGGGTGGTTGGTGCCGCCGCCGCCGCCGCCACCGCCGCCACCGCCGCCGCCGGCGGGCGAGGGGTCCGGCTTGAGGGTCTGGAGGAGGGCGGCGGGCAGGGCGGTGGGGCTCAGCTGGGGGTGGTAGAAGGACTTCCTGCAGTTCAGCTCGCCGCCCAGGAAGGAGGGCAGCCCCGAGGCGGCGGAGAAGACGGAGGCGGCGGCGGGAGGCGGCGGAGCCGGTAACGGGCAGTGCGGCGCCGGGAAGGGGAAGGCGCCCGCGGCGCCGCCGCCTCCGCCACCGGGATGGTGGTGGTGGTGGTGGGGGTAACCCTGGAGCTGCAGGCCGTAGTTGTAGCCGTAAGGTCCGTAGGCGAAGCCGGGCAGGAAGGCGGCGGGGTCGGCGGCCCCGGCCCGCAGCAGCAGCTCGGGGTGCGGCGGGTGCAGCTGCTGCTGCCGCTTGAAGCGCTTCCTCCGGCGCAGGAAGCTCCCGTTGTCGAACATGTCGGCGGACTCGGGGTCCAGCGTCCAGTAGTTGCCCTTGCCCGGGTTGCCGGGCTCCCGGGGGATCTTGACGAAGCAGTCGTTGAGGGAGAGGTTGTGGCGGATGCTGTTCTGCCAGGCGGGGAACTTCTCCCGGTAGTACGGGAAGCGCCCGCTGATGAACTCGCAGATCTCGCTCAGCGTCAGCCGCTTCTTGGGGCTCTGCAGGATGGCCATGGTGATGAGGGCGATGTAGGAGTAGGGCGGCTTCACCAGCGGGTTCTTCCCTCCCGCGCCGCCGCCGCCGCCGCCGCCCGCGGGCGCCTTGTCCCCGGGCGCGGCGCCGCGGGCGCAGGCCGGCTCCGAGCCGCCGCCGGGGGACAGCCGCTCCGGGGACCCCCCCATGCGCGCCTTGGCGGCCCCGCTCCGCGGCAGCGCCAGCCCCAGCGGATCGCCGCCGTCCTCCTCGTCCTCCTCCTCCTCGTCCTCGTCCTCCTCCTCCTCGCTGTACTTGCCCCCATCCTGGGGCGGGCCCACCACGTCGATATCCGCGTCCTCCACCTCGGAGAGCGGCTCTTCCTCCGGGGAGCGCTCGGACATGATCCCGCAGCCGCCGCCGCCGCTGCTGCCCAAAGTCATTGTTGTGCGGCCGGGGCGGCCGGGGCCGGGCTCCCCCCCCCACCTAGCGGCGGCTCCCGGGATGGGCCCGGGGCCGTGCCGGAGGGCTGCGGCCGCCGCTGGGACTCCGCGCCCCGGCGCCGCCGCTCCGCTCCGCTCCGCGCCCCGCTCGCCGCGCCGCTGCTGGCGGGGCCGCGGTGCCGGCTGCGGGGTGGTGGCTGCGGAGGGAGGGGCGGCGGAGGGGGCGCGGGGCGGGGGCGGGGGGACGGGGGCGCCCGTGGGCTGGGCAGGGCGCTTGGGAGCAGCGATAATAAATAATGGTGATAATGATAATAAAAGGAGAGAAATAGGGCGGGGGGGGGGGGGGGGGAAGAGAGGGAAAAAAGGTTAAAAAACAAAAAAGAAAAGTGGGGTTTGCGACGGCTCCTTGTCTGGTTGGGGGGAGGGACGGGGAGGGGGAAGGGAGGGGCAGTGGAAGAGGGAGGGGGGAGGGCAGAAGTGGGGAAGGCGGCTCCCCCCTCCCCACCCCTCCCGAGCTGGGACCCAGTGGAAACGCTCCCACACTGCGCCTGCTGCCCGCGCTCCCCAGGCCTTTATACGGCCGCCCCGGCATCACGTGGCGCCTGCCGCAGCCCCCGCGGGCACGGTGAGGGACTGCCCGGCCCGGTCCCCGGGGAGCGTGTCCCCCGCCCGAGATGCTTTCGAGGAAAGGCGCTGCCCGCTCCCCTGGCGCTCGGATGCCCCCAGCTTCGTCTGCAGCCGCCTGCTGTAGGAGGGGGGATAAAGCCCCTCCCCGCCCCAAGAGCCCCGCGGTGCTGGAGGCTCTCAGACCCCATTCCTGCGCGATGCGACGGTCGCCTTCTTCGGGCCGGGGGTCCGCGGAGGGTCCGTCCTCCCCCCGAGGGCTGCCCATCCCCGAAGTTGGGGGATGAGCGGCAGACCTCCCGCAGCCTCGGCGGCAGGGACCCTCACTCCGCCAGGACCGAGCCTTCGGGCCCCCTTGAGGGGTCGTGTGAATTTGGGGATCCCCGCTCCCCTTCTCCACGCGCTTACGTCACCGACACGTCAGCGAGGCCGGAGCACCCTGTCTGGAAACCCGCCTCCTCCCAGGGCTCCGAGGAAGGGATGCTGCGCCCGGCAGGTGCGGGCCGGAGGGCGAAGAGCAAAGCTCTGCCGAGCCTCTCCCGCCGCGAGAAACAACCAAAGCCAAGGCTGTGCGTGTCCGCGGGTGCTGGGGCCGCACCCGAGTCCCGCATCGCCGCCGGACGCGGCCGGCCCGGCCGGGCAGCACTTTGCGAGGCGGTCCGGCCAGGCCCCGGGAGCCCCTCGGGATGGGGAATGTCCCGCGGCCTCGGGAGCTCCGGCCTGCCGCTCTCCTTCCCTGCCGGCTGGCAGGAGGAGGCGGTGGGCAGCAGACACCCACCTTGTCGCGGGCTGCAAGAGAAGCGGGAGAATTTTCTTCTAAACAGAGGCACACAAGGTCCCCGGGAGCCACCGCAGTGTCCCCGCGGGTGGCAGAGCCCCGCTGCCCCCTTGCTGTCCCCTGGCGCAGTCCGGGGAACACCTCCACGGCTGAAGCTGCCCGGCCCGTGTCCCGTAGGCGACTGTGACAGCAGCTTGTCCCTGTCTCTGTCGCGGACACTTTGAACCACGCTCGCGCGGTTAGGTTTTGGTTCGGTTCGGTTTGGTTTTCTCCCTTGGGAGGCTCAGCAAACACGTATCTGCTTTCCCGTGGGAGGATGCTTGGGGAGGGAGGGAGGAAGGGGATGGGTTCTTCCAAGGGGGTACCATGAGGAGATGTCCCCCCGCCAAAGGCCACGTTCGGCAGTGTGAGAATCCGCGGTGATGAATTGCCAGTCTCTGCCGTTAACAGGTGCGAGCATTTGGTGATAAAATCTCCAGCACTAATACCGGGGAGCCGGGCCAAACAGCTGCGCGGCCCCGCTTCCAAATGCCGGTCACAATTACTCAAGCCCTAACGACTCGGTGCACAGGCTCGGCGAATTCGGCGGGACCCCGAGGAGAGGGCAGAAGCGGACGTCTCCACCCGCACATCTCCCGTGGAAGCGGCGATTTCAGAGCCGGAGCCTCTGCGCGGAGTCGGTCGCATCCTCCTTCCTCGCCGCCAGCGAGGACATCGGGAAGAAATTCTGAGGAGAATTTCTCGATCGGAAGGGAAAAGTAGAGGGAAAACGTACTGAAAGTTTCTCGGGAAGGTGGGAAGTCTGTCCCGAGGTCCGTGTCAGCTCTGGGGGAGCTTTCCTGAGCTTTCACTTTTATACTTCTTCGATGTTCCTAACCTGTGTTCACAACACATATGCATCTATCTCCCTCTCATAAGCTTTCATGTATATATATATATATTCAACTATATCTATATATATTTTCTTTCTTTTCCCGATATATTATAAGTATATATAATTGTCTAACACGGAGAAATGCCTCAGAGATGCCGCATCTTTCCTACCAACATTGTTTAAACTCTCCATTCATCAGCCCGATGGAAAAGCGATGGGAAGAACAAATGGAAGAGAGCGGAGAGGGAAAAGACCCGAGCCGCTTTCCACTTTTATTAAGTAAAATAATAGTTATGCCTCCCCTACATAAACGAAAGTGTCATAAAAAATTCCAAAGCAGCTGCCAGAGATTTCGACCACACACACAACGGGGCGATTGAATTTCCACTCGGTGCATTTCATGGCAGCGAGGAACCGCCGGGAGCTGCGCCTTGTGCCTCTGCAGGGCGGCGAAGGGGAGGGAGGGGGAGCAGCAAAATGACGCGTTACGAGCGGCCGGGGCAGGGGACACCGCCCGGGGGATGCTCCGGGGGAGAAGATGCTCGGCCGCCCCCCGCGCTCCCCGGTCCTCGGGCAGCTGCCGCCCGATCGCTCCGTCCGCAGGCTGGTCCCGCACGGTTCGAAGCGAAAGAGATGTGGGTGTCTGCTGCCTGTCCACCCTGCCCTGCCCCGCTGCCTGCTCTCCCCCTCTCTGGAGAGGTGGGCAGACCTCGGGGGGAGCCCCCGGCAACGCGGAACTCGGGTGGAGCCGCTCGCTGCTATAGTCATGGAGACCCCGATGAGGTCGGAAATGTACGGGGGAGGCGAGAAGGGCCGAACCGAGGCGCTGCTGATGGGATGCGGCCGGTGCCTTGTCCTTCCTCCCGCCTGGACCTGCCTCTCCCGCTCAGCATCGCGCACCCAGCGCGGCTCAGAGAGAGAAGCAGCAAGCCCCGGTCACCCGGCACCGACTCCGCTGCTGCCCGGTCCGAGGCACATTGTGGTCCCCGTTTAAGTCGGGGATGATCCACAATGGAACGAGAGGGAATGAATTGAATCCCGCTCTCCCAGTTCTCCGAACGGCTTCTGTTCGCCCAGTCGGTCTCAGCCTCGGCTTTGCCACACGAGATCGGCTGCACAAACAAAACAAAACGAGAAAAAGTACCTAAAGTACTCCTGTCCCGAGATGATTTAGAAAAGGGAAACCCTGGACTGAAACAAACCAGATGGTCGGAGCCCAGACACGGCACACACACACATACACACGCACACTCACACGCACACACACTCACACGCACTCCCGGCCGTGCATCCACACACGGAGCGACGGGCGCGTTTTAATGTCCGCCGGGGTAAGAAATGATGTGATCTCCCGAAAGAAAAACCCTATTGAGCTACACGAAAAGATTGCTTTGTTATCGCCCCGCTGAGCCCGGGCACGCTAGGCTGGGAGGGAAGCATTTTTCCTTGGGCAGATTTTTAATTTTTCTGCTCTCCTCCCTGCAGTATTTCCTTACAGACAGCCTCGCTTCCCGTTTGAACCCAACTCTGCTTCACTTTTCACGTTAAACTGCGGAATCGAATGTGCGTGGGGATGAGTGCTGCTGGAGTGCAGAGAGTCTCCAAAAAGTCTCAAATGTAGGGAAAGAATAAAAAAATAAAGGCCATCAGCCGAGCATTATGATTTCATTTTCTCCTTTAAATTGATTTTCACTGTTTTTCCCGCCTGTCTTAATGAGGTGTTTGATCCAGGCGTGTGAGGTCAGTGTTTGATGCCCTGCTGAGGGTTTCAGCAGGTGGATCCTCAAAGCCAAGGTTTTCCCTATGGGTGTCTGAGTGTCTCCGCCTGGGTCGGAGATCCTGAAAGCTGCAAAACTGGCCACAACGATCACACTTTTTTTTTTTCTTTTTTTTTTTTTTTTTTTTTTTTTTTCCTGGCCGCCCGTCCGCCCAGAGCTTTATTTGGTGGGGGTGTGGTCGGAGGGCAGAACACGAAGCCCAGGGCACCGCAGGGTGCATCCGCTGCTCCTGCCCTGGAGCCGGTCATGCCCACCCAAAGAGCATCTCCCAGCACGGGGGTGAAGCTCCTGGGAATTGGGGAAAGTTCAGCTCCAGCCAGACGATGTTGCTCCCAGACCCTTCCAGATGATCTGTTGGGTTTGTGATCCATAATCGTTCTTGTTGCTTCTGCTGAGCAGCATCTAAATTCGTTTATTCTGATGAGAACGGCATCTACAAGTCCCCCAAGGCTCAGTGATGGATTTTTCTTTATTACCTCGTTATCAAGCTTGGCTGACCTCTAACTTCTCTGAAAACATGAACAAGACAGACCTGCTGCTGCCCGGGCTGCCCCAGGGGGCTCTTTTTCCACTTATGTGATTTCCTTTGATATTATTTCTCTTCTTTCCATATCCAAGGCTCAGAGCTTCAGTGCTTCCTGCAGTTCAGCCCGTTTCCCAGCCCCGCACTGCCAGCTCCCAGCTGCAAAGATCAGTTTGCAGCCTGCACACCACGAGCTCCCGGCACAGGGAGGTCAGTGGGAATGGTGGTGACAGATAGTGAGAGATACATGAAATTCCCAGATGGAAAAGCACCGGAGCCAAGTGCCAATATCCATCCCTGCAGCGTTCAGATGTTGGACAGCTCGGGTTTGTTGACTTGACTTTGCAAATGTAGGTGTCTCAAAATCAACACCAAAAAAGGCCTGGATTTCAATGAAGGTTTTTCTCAGGAACCCTATTTGCAGGGTGGAGTCCCCATGAAACTTTGGAGCACAATTATCCCTGTCTTTCCTGTTCCTCAGACGAGGGGGAAACATGGTGAAAACACGTTCATTTAAGTGCTGTGATCTGACTTTAAGACCTTAGTTTTGAGCTTGCAGTTCCAAAACTTTGCCTCCTGTTCTCTCTTCATAACTGATCCCATCCCATGTGGGTTTGGAGCCCACTAGGCAAGCTCATACACAGCTTAACACTCAACTGATTAACCCTGGCTTGCTGTAAGCCCTTTTTCATACCATTCTTCATCAGTCTGACATGAAAAGAGATACACACACGTACATGACTCAGAGGAACATGGCATTTTCAA